GGGCCCCTCGCCGGCTCGGCTCCCCTCCGCGCCCGCCGGGTACCCAGAAAGCAGAGATGAGCCCCATTTTCAGGGCGCTTAGGGCTCGGGCGGACAAAACCTCGGCCTCTCTCTGGGTCCTGGCAGGGACCGGCCCACCCGCGCCGCGCCTTCCCCTCCGGGCTGCGGGGGGACCGGGAAGGCGCCCGCAGCGGATGTGGGGAAGGATGGTCCGAAACGTGCGGATAAAGGCTCGGGAGGGGGCGGGGAGGCGGCGGTTGCAGACCCGGTGGCCCGCTGTCCCCGGGCTGGAGCCAGGGTCTGCCTGCCGGGGCTCGGGCCCCACCCACAGCCCGGATTCAGGGAACTGTGGGGTCAGCACAGCCGGGACAGCGGTCCTGGGGACGAGGGTCGCAGCGCTCAGGGCGAGGGGCGGCGAGACCCTCCCGCGGCGGCTTTCTCGGCCGCTAACTTTCGCCGACCGGGGAGGGCTGGGTGGCTGCCGCGTCCCTGTACTGCGTCTTACTGTCCCTCCTCCATGAATGAATGACGACATTCGGAGCATCCGGAGAGAGGCGCGAGAAAGCCGCCCTGAGCGGGGGAGGGTCTCGCGGAGGCCACCCCAGCCCTCGTCCCACAGGCAGACCCGCGTGGGGGCGACACGCCCGGAGCGCTGGGTGGGCCCCAGCTCCACACCAAGGGCGGGTCTGGGAGTCGGGGTGCCCTGCGTGCTGTTGGGGGGCAGGAGGGTTCCCGGGATGCCAGAGCCAGGCCCGCAAAATCCTTTTGCAAAGAAGCCGCGGTGCAGAGGAATGGCCGCTTTGTTGCAAACCCCGCCTCATCCCCGTCTTTCTGAGTTGTGGGGGGCTTCCGGGGCACTGTCGGCCCGTCTCCATGGGACACTCTCCCTCCCCCCAGACCTAACAACTAAAGATGCCTCCCCACCTGGCCAGTGTCCCCGAAAGAGGCGGCTGGATCCCCCACCAGGTGCCGACCTTGGTTTAAAAGCACAGAACTGGGGGGCCATGAGGTCACAGGATCCCAGGCAGGTGCTCTAGAGGTCATCTCGAACTCACCCTTCATTTACGGACAAGGAAGTGAGGGCCCCGGAGGTGCAGCCTCAACCCTGCACCCTGACAGCCTGGCCCATCAGCCACCACCTCCAGCGCTTCCCCGCCCACCTGCCCCCAGTGGGCTCTCAGAGCCACATGAACAAAACGGCATTGTTGCAATACCTGGCTGCCGCCCCACGCGCCTTCCTCCCTGGGGTCAGCGGGCTGTCAGGACTTGCTTTTTTTTTTTTTTTTTAAAGAATTTACTTATTTGGGACCAGCAGGTGGCGTAGTAGTTAAGGTGCTGGACACTCCCACATGGCTGGCGAGTCTCAAGCCTGGTGTCTTGCTTTCTCACTTTCCCTCCCTCTCTCTCTCTCATTCTGTCTCTCTCTGGTCAAATGAAAATAAATGAATGAATAAATACAATTAAATAAATAATTATTAAAAAAGAATTTACTTATTTAAATTTATTTTGTATTACTATTATTTTAATTTTGACCAGAGAAAAAAAGAAGGAAAGTGAGAAAACAAGGTACCTGGCTCAGGACTTGAACTGTGGTTGGCCCTGTGGGAGTCCAGTGGCTGAACTACCATGCCACCTGCTGGCCCCAGGACCGATTCTTTGTGGGACAACAGAGAAGAAGGGCATGCAGCCAGAGGCAGGTCAGAGTTGACCTGGTCCTAGCAGGGAAGCTCAGGCATATCAGCCACTCACACTTTAGTATGAATGATATCACTTTGCTTTATTATGTCCCAGTTGAGGTCCAAAGTAAGGAAGGAGGATGTGTTGGGCCATGGCTTGCCCTTGGGGGGTGGATTTCAGTGTGTCCAAGAGAGGGGGCCTGTGGCTTGAGGCCCAGTCCTTCTCCTGGGTCCAAACCCAGACCCACCTGAGGGTCTCGGCTGTCCATCCTGCTGTTCTCTCGTCTGTGAAGTGGGGACTTGCCCGTGGTGGGAGGGGGTGGGCAGTAACACCCATCCCTCTGCCTCTCCCTGCCAGGGTGCGTCCCTGCTTCACCCCCGCACCTCTCTCTGGCTCTCATGGGGACCACCGAAGCCACACTCCGGATGGAAAACGTGGACGTGAAGGAGGAATGGCAGGACGAGGATCTCCCCAGGTACGGCGTCCGGGTCAGGTCAGCTGTGGCATCTCACCCAAGGGGCACAGGGCGCCTGCGTGCCGCTGCCCGCTGAGGCCACTCTGTGGGCGTTGCCGGGTGGCCTCTTCGGATGCAGCGTCACCTCCCACACACTGTGAGGGCCGAGCCCAGGGTGGCGAGTCCTCTCTGGCCTCATGGTAGGCTTGTGCAGGCCCGATACGGAATGAGCATTTGGCTTCTCTTTGTTTCTTTTCTTTTCTAACTGCCAGAGGGTGCACGCCCTCGCCAGCCAGCCTGCCAGACAGAGAGCCGGAGAGGCAAAGCACCCCTGGGGGATGGTCACCCCGTCCTGGTCCTGTCCTTTCTCCTCCTCCTCTCCCTCCTTCCCGGAGTTTGGGAATGCATATGTACCCAGCGAGTTTTTCAAGCCACTGGGGCCGGGATTCGAACCGCAGTCAGCCGTGTGGGATCTGGTTTCCTTCAGCACTAGGCTACAGGGCTGGCCCACACAAGGAACATTTGCTATGTCATTTACGATAGATCGCTGGGTCAGCAGGTGGCGTGGTGGTTCAGGCACCGGAACTCCCTCGTGGGTGACTGGTTCTAGTCCCAGACCTGGTAGCTTGATTTCTCGCTCCCTCTCTGAATGAGTGCACGTGTCCTATAGCAAATTAACGTAATAAAAATAAATACATTGTTTGAAAAGATTGATTCTCGGGGCCAGCAGGTGGCGTGGCGGTTAGAGATGCTGGACAGCCAGATGGCCAACCACGGTTCGAGTCCTGGACCTGGTGGCTTGTTTCTCACTTTCCCTCTCTCTCTGTCTCCCTCGGATCAAACTGGACAGTGATGATATGATAAATAAAGTCAGATAACATGGTTCTCCATCCCCAGAACTCCAGAAGACCCTGGCGCATGCTTCCAGGAGTTCTAAATATCCTCACCCCATCCCGTTGGCGTCTGCTGTCCTGGCGGTGGCCCTGGGAACCTGCCCCCACTTACATTCTTCCCCCTGAAAACCCAGGGCTGCCCCCCCACTCGCCTCTCTGTCCCCTCATCTCTATTCATCTCTGCCCCCCGCAGCTGCAGTCCCTCCCTTCCAGGGCCTTCTCTGTGGTTAACTCTCACCTCCAGACTTCGCCCTGGCTGTTCCTTCAGCCTGGAACGCTGTTCCCAGCCACTCTCCCAGTCTCGCTGCCCTTGGGCCTCTGTGCACAGACCACCTGCCCCGCCCGCCCCTCGGTTCTTCCCCCGCTTCCTCCCCGAGGAGCGAGGAGCGGAATAACATCCACCTGCCCTGGTCCTTGGAACCAGCGACTAACATCTTCCGTGGCAAAGGCACTTTACGAATGGAATTAAAATAAGATTTCGGGGACCAGCAGTTAACGTAATGGCTGTGTCGCTGGACTCCCATGTGGTCGACTGTGGTTCAAGTCCCACCCAGACCCGGTGGCTTAAACTCACGCTGGGCACGTGTGCGTGCGTGCCCAAAATCCCGAGAGGAGAATGGAGAAGGGATTGCCGTGTGGCCCTCCCCCCGGGGGTGGTTTCTCCCTTTTTGTCTGTCTGTCTCTGTGTTTCTGGCGAGCACATGTTCCCTATAGCAAAAATCTCTCTAAAAAACAAAATAAACAAAAATGGAGGAGGGGGAAAGGGGCCCTGGCCTCAGAAGGAGAAGATCCTGCTGGAAACAGGTTACTGGGGGAGGGGAAGGGCTGAGGGAGGGCCGGGTCCTCCCGTGGGCAGGGACTCCCTGAGCTTCCTGACGGCCCCACCCCTGCCTGCACCTGACCCTAGGCCATGGGAACAATTCCAGACCTACTCCGGCCTCCAGCGTGGTCAGACGAGAACTGTGATCTGAAGCCACCCTGCCCTGGCTAGTTCCGGGGGCCGTGGACCGTACACCCTCAGAGAGCTGAGGATGGTTATGCCTGTCCTCCGTCCCCCACCAGCAGAACCTCCCAAGCGGGCAGCTCCGTTTCTCTTCTTTGTTCCTTAGGTTTTTGCCATAGGGTGTGTGAGCTCACTAGGGGGAGGGAGGGAGAGAGAGAGAGAGAGAGGGAGAATGAGATTAACCCCTGCTGGAGAAGGCCATGCCACAATCTCCTCTCCTCCATCCTCCTCTCTGGATTTTGGACATACACACACATGCACTCACCTGGCATGACTTCCGAGCTGCCGGGTCTGGGACTTGAACTACACAGTGAGCCATGCAGGATCCAGTCACCATAACTACCATGCCCTGGCTAGCCCCAACTTTAAATTTTTAATTAAAATTTCACAGAAAAGGGAACCAGCAGTTAGCGTAATGGCTGTTTCACTGGACTCCCACGTAGTCGACCGTGGTTCACGTCCTGGACCCGGTGGCTTAGAACTCACGCCGGGCGCGTGTGCGTGCGTGCCCAAGATCCCGAGAGGAGAATGGAGAAGAAGGGATTGCGGCGTGGCCATCTCCCCTGGGGGGTGATTTCTCACTTTCTGTCTCTCTGTCTCTCTCTGTCTGTTGGGCGAGCACACGCGCCCTATAGCGAAAACCTCTCAAAAATTTTTTAAAAAAATATCACAGAAAATACATATCGTGAAAAACTATTCAGGGATTTCCAAAAAAATTTTTGCATCAAAAAAAAGCCTACTTTAATTCCATTTACCAAGACTTGTGAAGTCCCCTCATACTTTTTTTTTGGTAGAGGTTTTTGCCTTAGGTGCATACACTCACCTAAGAGAAACAGAGACAGAAAGTGAGCAATCACGCTGGTGGTGGTAGGGATGTCCACACCACAGTCCCTTCTCCACTCTCCTCCGGGATCCTGGGCATGCATGTACTTGTGCCTGGCATGAGTTTGAAGCCGCTGGTCTGGGACTGGAACCGCGTCGGCCAGGTGGGAGTCCAGTGACGTAGCCGCTACGCCATCTGCTGGGCCCTAGTTTCCCCCTATTGGAAAAGCTTCCCCCCTCCCAAACCTTGGGACAAAAATGGGGCTGATGGCAGCCTCGACCTGAGAACTGAGCGTTGTGGTGGCGAGGCCTGTGGGAGCGGTGTTGCCCTGGCTTGCCAGAAATGCTCTGTCTGCAGGAGCTCCGTCCTGGCCTCGGGAGCCCCGCCCCTCTCCTCCACGTGCCCGCTGCCGGCCTTTCTGCAGAGCCTTGCGGAGATGGCGCTTGGAGCCCACCTGTCCCTCTGTAATCCCGCGGGGACACGCTCTATGGAGGGGACCTGTGTATATTCACACACCCACGCACGAGTTCTACGTCCCCTCTCTCCAGATAATGGAGGGACTGCACAGCGAGAGCAGGGCACAGAGGTAGTTCACAGGTCATGGTTGCCGTTTTCTGGTTTTCCAGCTTTGCCCTAGGGCGCGCGGGTGCACCAGAGAGAGCGACAGAGGCAGGGAGAGGGAAGTGAGAAATCCCCGGGGAGTGGCCGGGCAGCCCCTCTCCTGTCTCCTCTCAGGACTGCGGCACGCTCGCGTGCAGAATGGCGTTACACGCAGGGACACCAGGTCCGCCCTGGTCGCGCTGCGCTTTGCGGAGGTGCGGCCCTCGGGCCCCCTGGCTTCCCTCCTCCAGTCCCGAGTGAAAGCCTGAACTAGTACGGGAGTAGGAAGGCCAGCGTCAGCGTCTCTCGGCCCTCGCTCTCTCCCCGAGACAGCACACCCAACGGCAGGCAGGGCCAGGAGACTGTGCGATCCATCCCCCGGCAGCTCCCTCTTTTAAACACTTGCCAGAGAGAGACCGAGAGACAGGAGAGGAGGAATCACCCCCGCGCGCGTGGGCAGGCCGTCTGCTCTGCACGGCTCCCTCCCGTCGCGATTTTGGGCATGCACGCGTGCCCAGCGTGTTTCTCAAGCAGCCCGGTCTGGGACTGGAACCGTGCCCTTGACCATGTGGCCCTGGCTTCCTTCAGCACCAGGACGCGGGCCAGGCCCATCACACGCTCTTTGCAAAGACACCTTGTCCTCTGGAGCCCAGCGGGCTGGGAGGGGGCAGCCTGTGTGGCCACTGTCCGTGGTCCTGCCCGCTCTCTCGGGCCTCCTAGACCATCCGGAGCGAGATGCATGTAAAGAGGTGTTGGTGTCTGGCAGGTGGCAGGGTGGTTAAGGCATTGGACTCCCACATGGCTGCCCAGGGTTCAAGCCCCAGACCCAGCAGCTTCAAATTCATGCCAGGCACATGTGTGTGCATGCTGAAAATCCCAGGAGAAAAATGGAGAAGGGATTGTGGTGTGGCCATCTCCCTAGGGGTGATTTCTCACTTTCCCTCTCTGGCAAGTACACATGGCCTGCAGCTAAAACCTAAAAATGAGTAAATAAGTACATAAATAAGGAAAGGAAGAGGCATCCGTGTACCCGCCCACTGAGCAGTCGCTGACTGGCCGAAGCACCTTGCTCCCTGACTCAGCACTCCCCGCCAGCCCCGTGCACCGTGGAGAACCTTCTGGCTGGTGTGACTTGTTTCCCTGGGAACAGAGGAGCCAGAGTACCCAGTCCTGCTCTGGGACCCAGGCGGGGGTGGCCAGAGAACTAGGTCCCACTTTGCAAATCCCCGCTCAGCCACCCACCTCTGCAGGGAGCCCAGCACCTAACGCAGGGGACACGAATGGCTGAACGGTTGCCTTTCTTTTCTTCTTCTTTTAGAGAGATTTTTGCTCCAGGGTGCATGCACTTGCTGGAGAGACAGAGAAACAGAAAGCAAGAAATCACCCCACCCCGGATGGGGTCAGGCCGCAATCCCTTCTCCTCCATTCTCCTCTCGGAATCTTGGGCATGCACGCACACGCGCCCAGAGTGAGTTTAAGCCACTGGGTCCGAGACTTGAACCATGGTCAACTACAAGGGAGTCCAGCGACACAGCCATTATGCTAACTGCTGGTCCCTGTATTGATTCATTTCTTCCAGGAGTGGGAGAGACAGAGAGACAGAGAGACTGAGAGACGGAGCCCCCAGGCTCTCCACTGTGTGATCCAGCGCAGCCCTGGCCAGCCTGGGTGGAGGGCACATGTGTGCCCAGCCTGCTCACGGCGGACTCCCCACAATCCCAGCGCCGTCCCATGAGGGTCAGCCCTGCAGGGCAGCACGTCGGACCCCCAGTCCCCAGCTGCCGTCCTGCACAGGCTTTTCAGAACAGAACCCATCGGGAAGGAGCCCCACGGGTCCCCCATAGAGAATTCGCCTTTGTAACCTCTCAGAACCCCGCCCTCGCTCCCTCGGGGATTCCGCGATGCCCACCCAAACTCCTGAAGGCCCGAGACCCACGAGGTGACCTGAAAGGAGCCAGCTGGCACGAACGCTCTCCGTGTCCCCCACGCTAAGGAGGACGCATCGGCCGGCCCGCAATTCCCAGAACTAACTGTCTCTTGTCTCTGTCGTTCTGTGCGACTCCGGCTCCTCCATGTCCCTCCGCTGGATTCGCGGTGCCTGGTGGCTGACATCTGCTCCCGGCCGGTCCGAAGGCCGCTCCCAGAAGACACGGGGATGGACTTGCTGGGCAGCCCGGCGGAAGACACGTCCTGTAAGTTTCCACGTGTGCAGGCACGGGGCTGCGTCCACACCTGCCTGCAGTCCTGGGCGCTGCCATGGCCGTAACCGTGGCGCTGGCAGAAGCCGCAACCCGGGCAGAAGGCCAGAGAAGAGGCCGTTTGCTCTGAGGCCTTCAGGGGAGGCGGCCGTGGGGGGCGGGGGTGTGGCCAGGAGGGCGAAGACGGCGAGCTGTGCTGCTGTGTGTCTTCTGGCTGGTCGCACGGCCTCTGTGCGCTGTCACTTCCTCGCTGCCACCTGCAGGTAGTGGGCTTTCTATAGACAGAGAGAGATTTATTTATAAATAAATAGGGCATAGGGCACGTGCTCTCACCAGAGTCAGAGAGCCAGAAGGCGAGAAACCGCCCTCAGGAGGGATGGCCACGCTGCAATCCCTTCTCCATTCCGCTCTCGGGATTTGGGCACGCACGCACACACGCACACGTGTCTTGTGATTTTCAAGCTGCCGGGTCCGGGACTTAAACTGCACTGTCGGCCACGTGGGATCCAGCCACCTAACGGCCACGCCACCTGCTGGTCCCAAGCCCCGGGACTTCTTGCAGATGGAGCGTGTAAGGATGAAGGAGGGGCATGCACAGTGCCCGGGTAGTGCCAGGCGGGACATGGGCACAGCCGAGGGGGCCCTGGGAGGCTCCTGGGTTCTGAGCGTCCAAAACTCTGGACAGGGGTGTGGGAGGGGGAAGAGAGCGGAGAGCACCCCCAGGGGGATGCCCACTCCGCACCCCTTCTCCACTCTCCTCTCAGGATTTGGGGCATGTATGCACACGTGCCCAGAGTGTTTTTTCAAACTGTTGAATCTGGGACTCGAACCACAAGGTGGGCCATGTGGGATCCAGCACCTTAACCTCCACGCCACTTGCTGGCTCCCACAAGTCCTTCAATGAGGATCCCAGCCACATCAGGTTACAGCTCCTCTGACTGACTCCAGCGTAAACTCACCCTAAGGATTCAGTCAGATGTGTGAGGGAGACCGCAGGGCCAGCAGGTGGCGTACGGACTTCGTCGCTGGACTTCCACACCGCCAGCCACACCTCGAGGCCCGGACCAAACTCACTCCGGGCGCGTCCGGTCTCAGCCCACCCCAGTACCGCCCTCAGGCCCCAAATCCACCCAGACAGCATGGAGACTGGGGGACAGTCAGGCGTGTGCCATCCAGGGCCGAACTCTCTCTGGCTGAGGACCAGGAAGCCAGAGGCCAGCCCTGCCCCCAGGTTCCAATCCAGGGCATGCACGGGAAGGCACTCTCAACCCGGCGTGGGGGGCTGCAGGAAGGAAGGGATTCGGGGTCTCGTGCACGTCTGAAAGCTGGCAGGGCAATTTCTATGTTTTTTTTTTTTTTTTCTCCTTTTTTTGGGGAAATCTCATTTGATCTTAAGGCTTGAGAATAATCCTCTTTGGCTCAGAGCTCTGTCCTCTGGGCCCCGTGTGGCACTACTGTCTCCCAGCTAGTGACAACTGTCACGTCGACACCTGCCTTCTTTTTTTGTTTGTTTTAATCTCCAGAGGGTGTGTGTTCTTGTCAAACAGACAGAGGGAGACAGAGAGGGAGACAGCCCCCCGTGGGGGTGGTCACACCGCACTCCCCCCCCTCCATCCCCGCCTTGTTGGGGTTTTGGGCATGCACATGCATTTGGCGTGTTTTTCAAGCCACCCGGGCTGGGATTTGCACCTCAGGGTCGGCGGTGGGGGACCCTGCCCTCTTAACCACAGGCCACAGGGCCGGACCCCCACTGAGGTTTGTTCATTTTGGCCCCACTGGTCACGTAATGTCATGGCAGGGCAGTGAGTTCCGGTGGTCTGGGGAGATCAGTCTCTCTTTTGTGTGGGGAGAGATTTCTGCCATAGGGGGTGTGCGCTTGCCAGAAAGACGGGAGACAGAAAGCAAGAAATCACCCCCCAGGGGGGATGGCCACGCCGCAATCCCTTCTCCTCCATTCTCCTCTCGGGATCTTGGGCACGCACGCACACGCGCCTGGCATGAGTTTTAAGCTGCCAGCTCCGGGGCTGGAACTGTGGTCGACTACGTGAGAATCCACCAACGTGACCATTAACCATCAACCATCAGCTTGTCCCTGTCTTTCTTTTTTTTTTTTTTTTTAAGAACCATTTAATTTGGGACCAGCAGTTGGTGTAACGGCTATGTTGCTGGACTCCCATGTAGTCAACCATGGTTCAAGTCCTGGGCCCCG